ATGCAAATACAATCTAAGTTTTTAAAAAAGGTATACAGTATGCAGTATACCATTATCACTCTCTGTATATGTATGTATGTATGTATGTATACACACATATAGAGAGATGCATGTGTGTGTCATATACATGGGTGTTAATATATATTTTATTTATGTATAACATATCTGTTATATGCATATTAACAATTTATGTCTAAATCTCTTTCTATGTATCAGGATTTGTTAACCCTAGCTCTGTTGATATTTTGTGCAAGGAAACTTTCTGGTGTGTCTGTATGTATTGGTGAAGGGGGTTGTGCTGTGCATTGTAGACTGTTTAGCTGCATCTGTGGCCTCTGTCCATTAGATGTTAGGAACATATATTTCACCCCTACCCTGGTATGTAGTGTGACATACAACAATGATTCTAGACTTTGCCAAATTAAACAGCTGTCAGTAAACAGCCACTGATATATACATACATACATATATACACACATATATGTGTATGAGTGTACATATACACATACATATAGACACATACATATAGACACATATGTATGAAATTTTTACCTTGGGCTTGTTTTACCTTGAGTTTCTTTGATATATCAGACATCTCATTTACTGTATAAATTGCTTTTTGTGATCATCAAAAATCAGTTCATTGCTATGTCACTCTATCAGAAGTGACAAAATTCTCAAAATTGCATGAAAAATAAATATATACACCTACAACTCACTCAAAACTGCAATAAGTTTAACAAATGGTTTGATTTAGTCAACTTTACCTTTCTAAAGTACTGGCCAGAAATAAAAATCTAGTTTTTCGTGTTTCCTTTGTGGATTTTGGACAGCAGACAGGAGATTCATTGGTATAAAACAGTAAGTGACCAGCTGTCTACTCCCGTCTCAGGGATCACAAAAGCTCTTTAGAGATCCCTTTAGAGTGCTCAAAGAAAGAGGACAGTAGGAATTTAATGCAAGCCTATCAATCCATGAAATGTGATAACACCTTTAGAACAAGTGTGAGTGTGTGTGTATGTGTGTGTGTGTGTGCAAGCATGCATACCTGCACCCTAAGAAAGGAAGACAGAGATACTGACAGGGTCTTTGAGTAATTGTAGACAAAAACAATTAATTTTTTTATGGTTCCCTAGCAAAAATCGGAATTTCTTTCTACATTAAAAGAAGCATTCAAAACTCATCACCTAAGGCCCAATTTTAATACGCACAAGATACCAAGTATTACAAAGTACAAGTATTGCAAAATTAGAACTAAAGCAGTTTTTACATTTCTTTAGGAAAATATGTTGTTTATTGCTAGAATTGACTTTGACTCTTGACCAACTCACCGTTTAGTGAATATTGGAGGAAATCCATGTTCGGAAACTGATGACAGTGGCAAGAGAAAATGTGCTAATGAAATCCATGAATGATACAATTTTTAAGAAAATTTAAATTGAAACTTTGTCCAATGTGACCTATGCAAAGCAGATTAAATAGCAAATATTCATGATCTTTCTATTGGAGAGTGAAAAGAGGATTCTCTTGAGCTGTGATTCTATGCTATATTCTAAGAATCCTTAAGACACTGGGAATAACAGCCATCAGCTCTAAGCAGAGATGAGGGGAAGTATTCCTTTAATATGTCATTCTTAGTACAGTGGATATTTAATAATTTATTTTGACTTGTTGAATGAATGCATAAATAAATAAAAAAAGTATTTGAATTTTGCGAGGTCCAGAAGTACTCCCAAGGGTTCCAGAATAGTTCTCTGATATATGTCCTTACATGATTCCTTCATAATACCAGCCACTTAAAGATAATCCAAGGCAGTTACACTTATTACATCTGTTGCTGGTATACTGAAACCTCTAAAAAAATTTCACACATGCTCATTCAGAGAATATTTGACTGTAAGACAATTGTATCCTAGGCCATCTTTTCTTCTAATTAACTATATCTGGTAAATTACTGAGAGACCCCTGTCCTAAGGTTCCTCATCTATAAAATCATTTTTGAAAAGACAGGCTTTTTTCTAAAAAGTCCTCTTATTTCAAAAGTTTTACTATTTTAGATTTATGAAATCTTTCTATAATTTCTATGGGCATTAAATAGCTAGTTATTTCCCATCAGAAAACCATCATTAGAAAAGTGACTTAGTTTTGGAAGAGAGCTTGTTTTCAGGCAACAGAACATTCTAATATTTGCATGCTTGCTTAAGTTGCCTTTTCTTTGCAGGTCTGAAGACCTTGAGAGAGTAATTCAAGCAAACACATGGTGAGTTCATCAAACTATGCATGGGATTTTAAAAGAGAAATATAAAACATATATTTGAAACCTTTTACTGAAAATGATAAAGGTGTCTATTTTCACAAAGAAGTACAGCTTGTTTTTCAGATATTTTCCCTTCATTTTGTTTTTAGTGTAATTAAATTTTGAGATCTGAGAAGTTTTAGGCTGGATTTTCGCTATTATCACCCATGAATAAAGCAAATAGAATTTTGCCTAATCAATGAAACAAAGTTTCTACTTTTCAAGTGGTCAACACCCATCATTGCAAATTTTAAAGGTACAAGAAAGTATCAAGAAACACAAATAAGCACAGATAATTTTATCACCAAGATTAATATAATAACATTGTAACATCCGAGCCAACATGAAATTATGTTTAGGAAGGTGACTTTTTTATATTTAATTTATTTTACTCTTCTACTAAGCTTTCTTTTTTATTTTTGGTCTAAAAACATAGAGAAGTAAGAAAATGTGTAATTTGTGTAGATAAAAATTATTAAAATATTTACCATTCTCAAAGAAATGTATGTTCAGAAACAATGAACTAGCCTAAAACAGAAAAAAGATGACAAAATTTCTAAAAGTGAGATCCATTTTATCTAACGAGGGAATTCAACAAGGGAATCAGAGGATGAACAGTGCTTTGTACCTAAAACTAAACTTATCAAAGGATTAAAACACATATTTGTGTTGTGTTTATATTTACACACATACATAAACACACATGTGTATACAAATATATATATGCATACATACATATGAAATGTTAGAATATCAAGGCAATGGACTAAAGTATAAAAGGGTTTTCTCAGTTTTGATGGCCAAATTCCATGCTGTAAGCAGTGCATTAGCCTCTAATGACATACGATTTCTCACTGACAGATTTAACAGCATCAATAAGGCCTCTCTGTCCATTGCAGCAAATTGATCCTACATGACACTGACAAGGGCAGCCTGCACTTAATGACCTCCATCGCTGAAGGATGGAAATGAAAAATGATTGGAAGTACAAATAAATCTTTGAAAGAAAGTTTTCCTGAAACAGGTGTGCTGAAAGTGATTCATTTGAGGAATCATCACAAATATAAACCCAATACCCTAGCATGTCCCATTGTCTATTTTTACCAGGATCTCACTCCTTAGATCTTGAATCAAGATTTGCTTTAATTTCAAAAATGTCATCAAGACAATTTTTGTTCTCACTGCAAAAACATTAGGGATCTCTCTTAAAGGCATGAATTCTTCACTATTTATGCAAGTAACTAATGCATTTGTCACTTACCACCAAAAGACTCTGTTCAAATGGATAACAAATATATATAACATATACTTTTGTTTCTCCCCTAATTAGAAAAAGATATACAGTGTAGCTATTGATTATTTTCTCCTCAATTATCAGCAAAATTAGAACATGTTTAACCTCAATAACAATTTCAAATACATGAAGTGACTGTTCAAATGCTTCATTGATACATTAATGCTTCTTCCTTGAATACTGCACAGTTGTTTTAGTTAAATTAAGATTTTGGCATATAGTTATTCCAGTTCTGGCCCAAATGCCACCCTGACCTATCTCCATCTTGTTATTACTGAATACAAATTTTTAAAAGAAAATTGCACCATTTTCTTTATATATTTGGAAGTTTAACTTGCATTAATGTAGATGGATGGGAAAGAGTTGATAAGCAGTATACCAGAGGAATGTAATAGTTACGGTTGCATAGCATCTTTCCATTTTCAAAATAATTGTGGGTGTTTCTTTTTTTTCCTTAACAATTTTCCTTTGAGGTAAATCTTGTGAAGTCAATCTTATTTTATTGATGAGAAAACTGAAGTTTGAGAGGATAAATAACTTTGTAAGGTCATTAGCTAGTAATTGGTAGAACTCACACTCATATCTGACATACTATTTTCCCAACATTTCACAGTAATAAGGGAATAAATATAGCACTACAATATCAAACTACTAATCTTTAATATAGTAATACAAATGACAATGGAGAAAAGATGCAATAGCAGCCTACTTGTTTTTAATGGCTAAATAAAATTTTTTAAACCAAGTCACATTTCTGAAAAATCAAATCCTGGGCTTCGACAAGTATTCAAAGGAAATAATTTTTCTTGTCAATAAGTATTTGGAGAAGAATACTGGGGAAGTGGCTGAATCTTAACACTTCGGTAGTGGAGCTATATTGTGTACTTTATTTGCCACTTAATTATTACAGAAGACATTACAAAATAAACTAGAATTCTGTGATTTCCAAGAATCAGAAAAGGTCAATTTTAAGTTCCATATCTAGTAGAAAATAGAATGCATAATTTGGATTCCAATTATGATGAGGAAGACTTAGTAGCCCGTCATGGAAAGTCATCTATAGATAGAATTGCAATGCGAAGTTTATGAAACAAAGTTTATGAATAACAAATATTTGACATTCTGAGAAATAATAATTAATAATTTAATAATAATTAAATGCAGATTAGTATCACAAGTGGATTAGAAACTGAGTTTTTTCAATTTCTCAAATATCTTATCAAAATGTAATTCCAAAAGGTTGATAAAAATACACACAAAAAAATACCAAAAAAAGAAGGCATGTTATTTAAGGGCATATAAAGGACCAACGTTAGACTGTAGGTTCCATGACAGACCACTGTTATTTATTGTAGTGCACATGTCAAGTAAATCATTACTTTTCAAAAAAAAAAAAAGAAAACATAATACCTGTTTCTTGTCTCTAATTGAAGCATCATATGATAATAGTCGGTCATATTGATTGAAATAATCATCCTTTTCTGCTAAGAAAATACTCTGTAATTTCAGATATTCTTGAGCTAAACGTAGATTTTCTTCTAGTGAAAGATCTTGTATTCTCTAGAAGATAAATATATACATATAGGTAGAGGAAATCATTTTAATTTTTGTTGAACTTTTTTATCTTTTGAGTTACCTAAAAGTGGCATATCAGATTTTAGAAAACTAATAAAAGCAAAAGATGCTTTCCATGAAACCAGTATCCTCTTTGGATTTAATAATTTTCTTTCTTGATAAAGGTTTTCTATTGACTCATGAGTCTGTCTCAGTTTTGTTCCCTTTCTTTCTAGAACTTCTCTCTATGATGCCTTGGGAAGTAACCAGTCCTGGGAGACACCACTCAGCATTCCTGGAGCCTGTTTCATTTACCACCCCCTATTTTTTTCCCACTTCTTCAAGCCTCAGTGCTCAGATAGGTAAAGAAACTTGGGAGCTTAGAATTTCATCTCCAAGAATTTCACTGAGGTGGCATTTAAGAAAAATACTGGAAGTGTATCGAAGTAAAGAATAAAAGACAAGGAACAAGGAATCCTTGCCTTAGAAGGCCCACAAACAGTCATTATTTGTTTCTATATTAAAGGCTATTGTATTTGTATTAGTTAATTCTGCTTCATTAGCAACTGAGAAGTTTATAACATCCCCATGACTAAATAAACATATATTAGATCGAATACAGCCCCCCTAGACTATAGCTTTTGTAATATTACCCATTTGGAAATTGGGGGATGATAATAATTTTAAATTAGATGCATACATTCATTTTAGTTGCTGATTTTTTTTAACACTTGTGGCATACAAATCTTCAGGCTGCTTCAAAAATATAGAATTTATTACCAGCCTTAAATATTTTCAAATCTGTTAATATATTCCTCTTAAGACAGTTTATTCTAAGAATAAAGCTCTATTCATTGTATTATTTATACTTGTAAAAACTTTTTAATGCTCAAATGCAGATTAATCATGATGAAAATGATGATTAAATAACTAAATCTAAAAATAGCCCTACTAAAGCAATTAAAATGCTTCTTTGGGAAAATTGCCATAACATCAAAACTTTGGTATAAGTTGTTTAAAAAAAGTATTGTGATATGAGAATGTACAGAGAGGAAATGTAATTCAGCAGAAAATTGCCTGTACAAATATTTTTGTATTTACACACTTAAAGATTTATTAAGGTCAACAAACATATTTCTCATGAAAGCCTGGTATCCATATTGATCCTAATGATTAATACTATGTCATAGCTGTACTTCAAAAAGCCACAATGATGAACTGAGAATCATTTTAAATGACCTTGCCCTAATTCAGGCATAATGATTTAAATCTTTAGAAACTTCTATCTTGTGACTTGCCTAAAATCATATAGAATTATCTTTCAGTAGGAAGACAAATTTTCTGAATATTTTTCTTTGGTGGAGATACTTTTGAAAAGATGGTTACAATTATTTTTGATGATTTAAAAGTAATATTAAAATCTAATCCTCAAGTGACTAACTTGGTACTCCTATAAATGCTCTACTGGATACAGAAAGAATAATCATTTTGAGTATTTTATTTGTTTGACTTGAAGGTAAAGCATAACTCTGTCACCTAAGATATTCTACTTCTCGTATACATTTCTTTCAGGCCCTACAACTCTACTGTAAACATTGAATTTGAGAGGAGTGTCATAAATATTGTGGAATTTGCTTTAAATCTAGTTACTAGAACTTAATAGGGAATATATTTGGTAATTTGTGATTTGTTCACTGTATAATATGCAATTTTATTTCCAAATACATATACTTTCAATTTTTTGGTATTACATCATTTCTTGCTCTATTATATGACATAGATACCAAAAAATGAAATTGTGTTGTCATACCAACAAATTTTAAAAATGTTGGTATATAAGTCATTTTTTACATTATCATTTCTCAGTAATAAATGTACAGAAGAATTTGCCAATCACTACGTATTCCCAAAAGTCAGTGACTTTCAGCTGTGCAATGCAGTGTAAGTTTTCTTAATTTTAAATAATGGTATTCTGCTGACATTGACAACATTCTTTATGTTCTACTGTAGTTCCACGTCACAACTTTGGCTTGTTTAATTTTAGTCAATAATATTAAACATGCAAAAGAAACAAGGGGGGATGGGTGGAAGTAGGTCCAGATGAAATAACACTACCACTACTGGAAGTTGAACCCTTATAGCAGGGTAGTGGCAGAAGATAATTAAGAAGGGGCACAGAAGTTGGAGTTAGCAATATAGTAGAAAGGGGAATTGAAAAAAGGAAACTAAAATGAGAAGATGGCTTTCAAGTGAGTTTAAGTTCAAACACAGATGAATCTTACCAGTAGAAGCTTTATACTTAAAGTTCTGGTTTAAATGTGAAACGTGAATGAAATTTTGGTTTTAAACCCATTAAAGATAAACTCATGCCATTTGCAGCAACATGGATGGAGCTAGAAGGAATTATGCTCAGTGAAATAAGTCGGAAGGAAAAAGAAAAAATATCAGATGGTTTCACTGATAGGAAGAATATAGGGGGACTAAAAAAGAAATCAGGGGGGAAATAATAACAATACAAAACAGAACAAAACAAAAACAAACAATTATAAACCGGAGACACCCTGCAAGGGAGGAAGAGGGAGAGGAGTTGGAGGGAGGGAGAAGCACAGGGGACTAAAGTGATGGTGCAGGGGTGCATTGGTGAAGGAAATTCTGTGGAACAACACCTGAGGAGGGAGGAAAGCAAACATTGTTTAAAAATGAACAACGATGTAAAAATATATAAAGAGAAAAAGAAAAAATTGATTTGCTGCTTCTATAGATTAAATAACTGTATTCTTAGTTGGTATATAGTATTATTTTATTCACACATTCCCTCATTTTCATTCAGTTATCAACTCAAAACTTTTAATTTAGTAACCACTGTGGGGCAAACTCTGAGATATAATGGTGAATGTCAATACTTGGTGGTCTTGTGGGAAAGATTCATATTAACCATCAAACAAGGAATGCAGAATTTTGAATCTTTCACACTTTTTTGTTTCCTACATGTATTAATTTCACCTAAAAGATCTAAATATACTTTACTAAGCTAAATTTATTGGTAATTATTCAATTTTTATTAATAATGACTATGATGATGAAACATTGGGAATATGGTTTGATAAAGCGACATCATGAATATCAGAAAATAGAATGCAACAAGGCAAATACTTGACATGAAGATGGTTTATTTTTTATTATATCAAATTATTTGTTTGGGGAATATTACAGCTTCTTATTTCAGTGTTTTGCTAGAAATTAAGATTATGTTTATCAAGTGTTAAGCACATTGTAGGCCACCATTTTGTTCACTCCTAAGATACACTGGACAAAGTACAGTTGATATATGTGGGTACACAGGTTTTCAGTACATGAATGAATGAATAAGTAGAATACCATTTAGGAAATGAATCTATTTCCTAACATTTTAGAGTCACACATTTTATTTACCACTTCTTTGAAATGATACTGATATTATAACCATTTATTATAATGAAGCACATTCATTTACACTATTTAGCACTATCCCACTAGGGAGGTGAAGACCTTAAAGAAGCGAGGAAAAGGAATCATACAATATGCACTGAACATTATTCTGAGGACTGCAATGTCCAGGCTTAACAATATTTCTTTCTCTGGGTACAAGTTGACCTATACAAGGTAGGCAAAGCACTTGAAATTGTACACAGACATTTTCTTGCTTTATCTTATTAGTGCATGATCCCAAAGTGTTGAGGAATCATCAAAAAAGAATGATCTGTCTTGCTCCTCTGCCATCAACAATGCTAAAAATTGTAGGTAGACTGAGACCCTGTAGTACCCAAATACTAGTTTCCCACTTTTGTTTCACTTGACATTTCTTCTTAAGTCATGGATTTTATCATCTTGGATTCCCTCATTTTTCTATTCTTTTCCTTCTTCCTCTGGGCCAGGGGGGAAGTCAGGGAATTCTAATGAGAGAATTGGGCTCTTTTCATATTAATAATAGAGCACAGCCATCTATTTATGTTTCTCCTTGAGACATATAGAGAAAAATTTTAGAACTAAAACTGAACATGAACATGAACTTAAATTCCACATATAATGAAAAGGAAAAAAATAATAAAGTAGGGGAAACAAATATGGCCAGTGTCTACAAATGAAAAGATTCTGCTGGCTCCAAAGCCTCAACCTCCCTACTTCTGAAAGTCATTCTACCCACAATTTAGTATTAATAGTGTGATATAAGACTGATGACAGAGTGATGATATGAATTAGAGTAACTGCTAACATTAGGAGTGCTAATTAAAACCAGGACATATCCTAAGAAGGCAGTATTTACTAAATTTATCCTCACATCAGTTCTCTAAGTTGTGAATTTATTCTCATTTTACAAATAAGGAAGATAATTCAAAGAGAAGTCAGGTGAAGCAAATTGTATCTTTCAAATATGCCGGCAATATTTTCATTTCCAGAAGTTTTTCCAGAACCTGTTACTTGCTATCAAGAAGCGTAGTCTATTTCTCTTTTCTCTGAACCTGGGTAGTCTTTTTTTTTTTTTAACCTGGGTAATCTTGTGGCTTTTTCACCAACAGATTTTGGGGGAAACGATGCTGCATGACTTCTTAAACTTGATTATATAAAGCATATAACTTCTGCCTCACCCTCTCTTTGGGATATTTGCCCTAGAACTAGTTACCATGTTGTGAGGATTGTAAGCCACATGGAGAAGTCAGGTGAAGATGTTCCAGCTAAAAGCCCCAAATCAGAATTCAAGCAACAGTCACAGCAAATGTGAATGAATGAGTCCTTTGAAGATTATTCCAGCTTCAAGTCATCGAGTCGATGGTCCAGAAAGAATGAGAAAAAAGACAAGCTATCCCTGCTATGTCCTGCCCAAATTTCTGATGTATACAATCATGAGTCATGCAGCTTTGGGCATTTATCATGTTATTAAAGCAACTGAAACACAAGATAGCTTGTGCAAGCTTCTACATTATTAGGTGGGGAACCTGGGCTTTGCACCTAGCAGACTAGTTCTAGAT